CCCCCCCCCCCCGCTGAACACTAGCGTCACCTGGGGAGGCTTTAACATTCTGAAGCTTGTGCCTCCCCTGCTTTCTTCGCAGCAGCATCTCTAGGAGTAGGGCCTGGACATCTGCATTTGAAAATAAGCGCTCCCTGTGTGATTGTGGGGCATAGGGAGACTGAGAACCAAGGGCGTAGGTTGTCCCGAGACCTTCAGCTTGAAAGTTGGCACACTCGGTTTCTGTTTGGAAGGGATCTCACTCCTTCCCATACTCAGCACACTAACACACACTCAGCACACTAACACTAACACACTCAGCACACTAACACACACTCAGCACACTAACACTAACACACTCAGCATACTAACACACACTCAGCACACTAACACTAACACACTCAGCATACTAACACACACTCAGCACACTAACACTAACACACTCAGCATACTAACACACACTCAGCACACTAACACTAACACACTCAGCATACTAACACACACTCAGCACACTAACACTAACACACTCAGCATACTAACACACACTCAGCACACTAACACTAACACACTCAGCATACTAACACACACTCAGCACACTAACACTAACACACTCAGCATACTAACACACACTCAGCACACTAACACTAACACACTCAGCATACTAACACACACTCAGCACACTAACACTAACACACTCAGCATACTAACACACACTCAGCACACTAACACTAACACACTCAGCATACTAACACACACTCAGCACACTAACACTAACACACTCAGCATACTAACACACACTCAGCACACTAACACTAACACACTCAGCATACTAACACACACTTAGCCTAGTTACTCTCTGCACTGACACTACACTAATACACAGCACACTAACACACTCATTGCAGTGACACACTCAAGTGAACTAACACAGTGTGATTAAACTGTTTTCCTTTAAAAAAATTGAGGTGAAACTCATATAACACAAAAGTAATAATTTTAAAGTGTACAATAATTTTAAAGTGAATGCAGCTGCGTTCACAGTGTTGTGCAGCCACAACCTCTTCCTAGCTCCTAAACATTTTCATTCCTCCAAAGAAAACCTGGTACCCAGTCAGGGTCACTCCCATCCTCCACCCTCCCAGCCCCTGGCAACCACCAATGGGCTTTTGGTCTCTGGCTTCCCTCATGCTGGATGTTTCCTATAAATGAAATCATAAAACATGTGGCCTTTTGCCTCTGACTTCCCTCGCTTAGCGTAATGCGCTCGTTTCAGCCTCGGCGTAGCATTGCCAGGACCTCGTGGCTGGACGGCAGTCCACTGCGTGGACACGCGTTCTGCTTACCCGCTCGTCTGCTGGCGGCCGTTTGGGCTGCTTCACCCTTTGACTGTTGTGAATGATGCTGCTCGGAGCATTTGTGTACAAATATTGGTCTGAATGCCTGTTTTCAGTTCTTTTAGGAATTTACCGAGGAGTGGAATTGCAATGGTGATTCTGTATTTAACTTTTTGAGCAACCACCGACCTGTTTAAGTGCGATTAAACTGTCATCTCTATTCTTTGCCCCCACAGATCTTCCTTGACTTGTCCCCACTGCCTGAAACAGAGCAACACCTTCGATCCTTTCCTGTGTGTGTCACTGCCCATCCCCTTGCGCCAGACCAGGTATGTGAGCGTCGTGCCCGGTGCACTGGACCTTTCTCCTGCTGGGAACCTCCTGGCCTTCCATCTGCAGCTGTCTCTCTCTTGCTTCTCAGTCAGTGTTTCTCCAGAAACCAGCTTTATAGCTGGGGGACATTCAGTTATGGAATGTGACAAAGTGAAAGGTTACCATGTCCCTTCTTTAGCTGAAGAAGGAATTATGAACAGCGCTTTTTTTGATCAGCACCAGGCTCATGTGTTTGGCCCATTCAGAAGCTGGCATGGGCCATGGGTACCACTTGGTCAGATGGCAGCCCAGAGAAAATCTGTCATCGCCTGCTTTCCCATGCTGTATTTCCACCTTCCTCCTTTTTGGGAAGGTGTGGGAAGAGGTTTATCTAAGGAGCAAAGGTAAAGGAAAGTGCAATTAGAGGAGATGAGAAAAAGAAAAGAAGAGTTAGGACTGGGCAAGAGCCGTGGTGGGCCAGCTGTGTAGAAGTAAGAAGCATGTAGTGCAGGCTTCCCAGCAGCCAGGTCTCCACAGTGACCGGGAGGCGCCTGGCCAGCGTCAGCGTCGAGGAGGCTCAGTGAGCTCCCGGGCGGGGTGCCTTCCTGGGGTCAGCGGGGACATTTCTTCCTGTGTTCCCCACCTCTGTGGAGACCGTTTCTCTTGCCCTCTGTCTGTTGACGCTCCATCCTAGGATGCAGCCGAAGGCACGACCGCCTCAGAAAGACTTTCCCGACATCTTAATCCCCTTTCTGCTCTGAATTCCTGGGCTGCCAATAGTTTATACCCCAAATACAACATGGGCTTGTCCTGTCACCAGTGACACCATCAGATGATGTCTGCTGGTGGATGTGAGTGAAGATTCCTGGCTTGACACAGCATAGCACGTCAGTTAGGACCACTGATGCTGGGGCCAGAGTGCCTGGGTTCAAATCCAGCTCTGTTCATTAGCTGTGTGAATTGGGTAATTACTGCAGTATAGAACAGGAGAGATAGGGGCTGGGCGAGCGAGGCCTGGTGTGCTGGTGGGGACAGTAGAAAGTGGGATCAGTGAAGGGCCCCGTCTTATTACCAAGAGAGACTTTCAATAAGAAAAGTCTTGACTGCTTGACTGCTTCTCAAACCTCAAAGTTTGGCCCTGACGATATTGCTCAGTGGTTAGAGCATCGTCCCACAGACCAAAGGGTAGCAAGTTCCATTCCCAGTCAAGGGCATGTACCTGGGTTGCAGGTTCATCCCCAGCCCTGGTCAGGGCATGTGCTGGAGGCAACCAATCTACATGTCTCTCTCACATCGATGTTTCTCTCTCCCTCCCTTCCTTCCACTCTCTCTAAAATAAAGTCAATGGAAAAAAACACTTCAAAGTTTGTTTTTGGTTAAGATGATCTACTTAACAAACAGAACCTTGAGACCAGAGATCTGTATTATGATTATTAATCAAATATCTTTTATTTTTAACTTGCTGGAAAAGTACTCCGTTGATATTTTCAGAGAATTGGCTCTCCAGCGACACCTGGTGACAGTGTACCCAAGTTGCAGTGACCTGACCTGGAAGCAGAGATGAGCCGAGGGGCTGAACTTGACCTAGTGTTAGAGGTATTGGTGACAGTTCATGGTAGTCCTTTAAGGATGTGGACTCTTTCCTGTTTTTCAGATTCTTGAGCGTCACCTTGGTCTTCCCCTCTAAGGGCCAGCGGTTCCTGCGGGTGGGCCTGGCTGTGCCCATCCTCAGCACAGTGGCCGCCCTGAGGAAGATGGTGGCTGAGGAAGGCAGCGTCCCTGTGGATGAGGTATGCTGGAATCGCATGGGGCCTGGTCGCTGGATGGCGAAATGCTAACTGAGCCAGCTGTCTAGATTCTTTAGGCTAATTTCTGGTTTCCAGGTGACTCCAGAGTGATTCATGAATTTCTGTTTGATTGTATCCCTTGTGTCTGTGATGAGTAGGTCTTGACCTCTCCAGGCACTTACATAGAATAACATAAAAAAGACTCTACTTTTGTCTTCCAAGGTGGTGATGATTACAATTAGAGTAATTCCACAATAGCTGCCCCTCAGTAGTGGTCACGAAGTGCTGGGCACTACTCTGTGGACTTTATATTCATAACAAATTTAATTTTCACAACCATCCTGTGAAGTAGATTCTACAATTGTCCTCACTCACCAGGGAGCAAAGAGAAGGCACTGAGAGGTTGAGTGACTTGCCCAGGGTCACACAGCTGGTAAGTGGCTGAGCCAGGATTTGAACACAGATGGTTTGGTTTCAGAGCCTGAGCCACTATTCTATATTTTCACTCCTGAGAATATAAGCCAGGGTATTGAAGGGATAATCAATGAAATATGAGGACCACTGAGGGCACCAAGGATGTGTATAACAGGAGAGGGGAGAGTTGGGGGAAAGCGGGATTGGCTATGTTCTACTTATTTTTTTAAGGAGTCTTGATAAAGAGATTGGATTTTCTGTGACTTTGGAGGACAGAACTCATAACAGCCCC